AGACGTCCATAATCCCGTTTGCACGTTGTTGGGGGGCTAAATCTGTCTTAAGGAGATTTGCTTTGGCATACCTCGCTTCATCTTCTTCTTTTTTCCGTTTTTCCTGCTTTGTTATTTATTCTTTCGATTGGGATAGTCGAATTTCCGACAACACTTTGGTCTGGATCAAAGCAATGACTTTTTTTTTCGATTTATTGTTTTTCACGAATGATTGAAATTGTAATGAACAGTATATGATGCAGTAAAATGCATAAAGAGGGAAAAATAGGGAGAAATATTTTAGCGTGAATGTACAAAAGCATAAAAAAAATTTTAGAATTCATTTCTTTCCACAGTTATAAGTTCAAACTAGTTAAGAGCTTGTTTGGGGATGATTTTTTGAAAATTAGTTTTCCCAAAATCATTTTCAACCACAAATTCTAAGGAGCCATGACTCTTACCTAATTTTTAGTTACACATTCTCCAAAAAAAAAATCATTTTTTCTTTCAAAAAATCTCTCCCAAACAAGCTCTAAGATTCCTTTTTATTTGGCAAGTTTCCATTTTGGTTAGGGATTTTAAGTGTAATTAGGACTATTTTTTAAGAGTTATGCAAACTATTGAATATTGACTACAGAGTTATTGAAAATTTCCTCCCCAAGTCCTCTTGTTCTTCTACTTCTCTCTCTATCTCTCTTGCTTCTATCTCTTCTTCACTATTTTCTTGTCTTCACTATACTGTGTAATGATGAAAATTTTTATGGATAATCTTGAAGACTTGTCATAGAATGATCATTCATTTAGGAAAAAAAACATAAGAGATGTTTTGGAATTTATTTTGTTTTTTTTTAGTTCGACTACCAAAAGCAAGACTATTATTATCTCTGACTACCAACACCAATTATTTTCTTTTCCTTGATAACCACGAACTAAACTCTTTTATCTTTCACAAGACTAGGAGTTTTTTTAACAATAACTAGACAAATAACACAGCATGCCACAAATTGTACCTCTTTGTTCCTTCTGATGAAGAGCACCGAGAAATATAACTTAGATTAAGTTTTATTCATAGGAGTGAACTAAGTTCTGGTAACAATTGATGCACATGTGGTTTAAAAAGGCATGATTGAGGCGTGCCTCAGTCTGAGGCTGTAGAAAATAGTATTGGGGAATTATTTTAGGCCAGAATGAGCCTCGAGGCACACATCTCAAAGAGAGAGATGTCCGCCCCTCTTGAATTACCTTCGAAACCACCTTCTCTTTAAAATTCTCATATTTCATTGGTCGACTTCATTGGAAATCTTCTATATGTTTAAACAGATTTGGAAATCTATTATATTAGCCTTTGTCATCTGATTATTAGCTATAAATCATCAATGGAACCCATGATATAACCTAATTTATTTCTTGATTATATATTAGTATATCATGTATAAAATACTTTATAATTTCGAATACAAACAATAAAAACACTCGACACAAGTACTAAAGCAAAATTGCGACCCCAGAACTTCATCACTGCGGCGGACAACAGCATCCCTCCGGTAACAACAGAGACATCACTCTGGCATAGACTAGTGATTTTATACATAATCTCAATAGTAATGACTAGTTGTCATATAGAAGACTTACTTTTTTTGTTTAAATTGCAACTTTATGGTTTATTGATTAATTTTGTGCTTGTTTGCATTGATGCTTCAAGTTAATCTATTGTTTTGGGAATTTTACAATTAGTTTATGTTACTATATGTTTATTTTTATATTTTTGTATCTTTTTTTACTTTTTTTGGTTCATGGTGAGGCTTACAGGTAAAAACACCTTGAGCCTTATGTGTCGCCTCACGAAGGAAAAATGCTACGGTACCCGACTTCACCTTTTTAAACACTTGATGCACAATATAGTGAACAAGAGAACACAAAATATAAGGAATACTTTATCATAAACCTTGATTTCGATACCTGAATAAGAATCAGGAATAGCGGAATCCAGAAAGAAAAGTAGACTAGGATGAGAAATGGGGACTGGGGAGGATAATTTCGATAACCTTAAATTCAATCTGCATAACTCAAAAAGACCAGCCCTATTGCTATTTGTACTTAAAATGCCTATGTAAAATGGAAAGTTACCAAAATAATGAAGAATGAAAATTACCCAATATAAACCAATAACTATGGAAAGAAACAAATCAATCATCAAACTCCAAAGTATTACATATGCTTTTGCCTATAATGAATTCTTAGTATGTGGCAAGTATTCCAAAAATATCTATGAGGATTTCCATCGGTATGCCTCTGGCCTAAGTAAACCCCATAGAAATGTATTCCATGTTAAATTTGGAGAAAAAACTGGAAATATGTGAGGTTAAAATTGATGCCAAGTATTCATTAAGCAAATTTAATGTCATCTATAATGTCATGCCAATTACAAAGTTGGTTATTCTAAATCCCACAAGAAGAGTGAGTATAAAGGTATTATAATTAGCAGCATATAAAGGAAACTTATCCATGAGAAACTGAAAAGGAAACGAGGATTGAAATGAAATAATTTGGCATCTTCAAGATTTCATCATCAAGAAAATAAAAAAGGAAAAAGACAAAACCTTTGAAATTGAAAGATTGTACGATATAATTTCATAGAATTTACACCAAACAGCATAAAACAATTACATCATTTCGTAAAAGTGGATCAAAAAGAGTGAACATGAATCAGATACATGGAGTACTATGATCCCATGAAACAATGGTACCTAAATTGCAGAATAGGATAGAACTACTTACTTCTGCACACCTAAATGGTAAATCTTCTCTGCCGCGTCAAACTTCTTTGTCTTTTCATAATAGAGAGCATAAGCCTGGTAAAACAAAGACTTCCTCATTCCAATGCGATTCATCTCCATGGTTCTCAAAACTGCTTTTGGATCATCCACAAAATCCATCTGCATAAAATCATAGCAAATATCTATGAAACTCCCAACTACTTCATTATAATAAGGAATATGATAGATCAAATGCTTTAGCAGTTATCTCCGGATCAGCACAGAAGCACAAAAGTACACAACTATTTCTGGAAGACAACTCATACATTTTTCTTGTAAAGCACTAATTTTTTTCTTAATTAGTATTTACTTAAATAATCTTCAATTAGATTTCACAAATTACTTATTCTATTCTTGGTGTAACAAATTGGAGCCTGTAATTGAAATTCATGAAAATACAATTTAAATACAAACAAAATCATTTCTAATTCCAACAGTAAGACCCCAATTCAACGTAACTTAATACAAACTGGTTTCATCATGGCAGTGAAAGCAAAAAAATTAGTCTCCAGTACTTCTAAAGTCTGTAAGACACCAGCCTAATACTAATTTTTTTAAGAAAATAATAAGTATTCAAACAGATTTGCTCTTTATTTCTCTTGCTATTCTTAGCAAGCAAACACAGTACAAAAATATGATTAAAAAACAGAATCATTAAGAAAAATGAAAATAAAATATTGGGTTGGTGTCAGAAAAAAGAGGTACCAATTGTAACCAAACGCGAAGGTAGCGCAGGTCGTTGGAGTAGCGGCGGTCAGTTTGAAAATTCTCGGCGCATTTCTGAAGAAAGCGAGGCAGTTTCTCTTTGAGAAGCTGGGGAGGCACCGAGTCTTTCATTTTCTTTATCCCTCTATTACAAACAAATCAAATCGGTTAGCATAGAGAAATGCACAAAACAAACACAGCAAGAATGGAAAAAAATTCTGGGTATAAATATATATTTATTTTTTTACCGGATCCATGGGAGAAGAGGATCATTGCCATTATAGGATTTGATGTCTGCGATTATCGAAGAGAAGAGATTGTTAAAGAGAGTATTGCTGTTGTTCGACATTGATGGAATGAGTACGTCTGGTGTGGAGATGGGGTTGGGGTTCTGATTTGAATTTGTTTAGGCGCTGAGGAATTTTGTTAAGAATTCTTTTTCGAAAAGGTCCTTTTGCGAAAATTGCAACGGGGTCTCTAATTTTAGCATTTTGTGCCAATGGGTCCAATGGAAATAAAACTTGGCATCACGTTATTAACATTTCATATTCATAATCAGGGAGGGATCCAGGAAGTCGAGTGAGCTTGGGCATTCATTGATCGTTTACGGTTGCAATAGCAAAATTATTTATTAATATTTAATTAAATAATATTAAAAAATTACTTATGAATATATAATAATTACTAATTAGACTCCATCATTTACGAGATAAATAAGAAGAGATAGGAAATATAGATTAATTTGAATCTCGATTTAAAATACATTGGATTAGTGGTTTAATCATTGGGTCATCGAATTTTAGTTAAAAAAATAAATTTTAAAACAAAGACTCTATTAGTTTGATATACCAATATTTCTTATTTAGTTTATAAATTTGCAATTATCATAATGGTCAAACTCTCAATTATCACATATTAAGTTCACAGTTTGAATCTTATCTATTGCGAATGTATTATAAAACTTTTCTTTTGCCAATTTGTTAGATAAAAAAATATTAACACAAGAAGAGGAAATTCCAAAAATCGAACTTCATACATGATATATAGAAATTGGGTGCTCCCATCTGAGCTGCGCAATATTGTGGTGAAAGTTGTTACATTTATAAATATTTATGCTATGTTTGATAACTTGAATTTTCCTTGGAAAATAAAAAAATTTTCCTTTTTCACCCTTAAAAAGTTGTTTGATAAGTAAAATTTGGCATGGAAAAAATTTTCCCACATGCCATTTTTCCTTCTTTTTAGGGAATTCATTTTCCCACCTAAAAATGTGGAAAAATGAATTCAAAATTCCAGTTTCGGCCTTTTTATTTATTTAATTATTTTTGGCAATGGTAACAAATTTTATAACCAATTGTAAAAAAAAAAAAAACTATTTTAATGGACAATTTTCATGTAAAACGAAGTCAAACGAACACTAAATTTTGATGAAAAAATAGTTTTCGAGCAAACTTTTTTTTTTTTTTTATA